GCCATAGGGATATTGAATTGCCTCATCTTTGGTGATCACTCCCAGAAGTTAGGATTTCTAAGGCTAAACATTGCATTTCATTTTCTTTACAGCATTACTATTTTTCTTACAAAATACCTGTTCTGAGAACGTGTGCACCAGTTAATGTTTGACTTTTAGGCTAGGCAGAGGGATAACAGACAATCTATAACACTCTAGTTCTGCAAGAGAAAAATATTAAAAACCAAGAGTATCATGTCATGGTATCATGAACTAACAAGTACATGTTTTCAGACTGAAATTGTTCTCCACATAATAACGTACCTGTAAAGAAAAAGACCAAACACTTGTTTGAAAATTTTTTCTGTTGTAATTCTATGGTTGTATTCCATGGTTTCCAAGTTTTGTATATGAATTTTGGAATACACATGATCTATTCAGCAATCTTTTTGATCCATTTTCTTCAGTAGAACAAATGACTTATTTTAATCAACTGGTTTTATCTCTGTTGTGAAAAAGGAAATCCGTTTGAGAAAGTTTAATTTATTTAGCTGGTTTTAATAGAAGCTGTTTATTTTTCAGGATTTGCTGACATCCCCACTGGCAAGTCCAGCCCTTACATCTTACGTAGAACAACGCTACACCTCAGAACCAGTCCCCATCTTACTTCGGGTGAGAAACAGCCTTTGCCTAAACAAGACTTACAGAGGTGCAGACCAGATCATCTTGGTGAGCGCTCCTGTCCAACACCTGGTGGCAGCAAACCACAAAAGGTAACTTGAAAAATTTTATCTGGATATGAAAGTCGTGGGGAAAACTTAATGCATTCACTAAATGTATTCATCTTTCCAAGTAAGTTTGAGGATATTATCATCATTCTTTATGTTTTCAACAATACAGTGAAGATCATAAATACTGAATCAGTAAAACATGACATAGGTCTTGTCCGTGCTAGCAATCTGCAAATTGACTGTGTGGTGTTATTTGTGACCTCAAAGGGAGAAACCACTGAGAAATGTAAATTCAATACAGGTATATTTTCAATTTCTTATAATGTATACTAAAGAGCAGATATTCCTTATACTGTGGTTTCTTAGGTTTCAGAGAAAGTAAACACCAAAAGGATTAACCTCTGGGAGTTTGAGTTTAAAGTTTTCTGCAAACCAGTTTTCTTGGAATTCCAAGTTACAGGTGCTGTAAAATAACTACAGATATTTGAGATGCTGTTAAACATGTAAATAGGGAACATTTAGATAGTAAAGAAACTATCATATAGAATCTTTTTTGTTGGAAGGGACCTTAAAGATCATGTAGTTCCAACTTCCCTGCTGTGGACAGGAAAGTCTTCTACTAGATCAGCTTGCTCATGCTTACAGATTTTGATGTTATCAAAATGGATAAATACTACACAGTTAGATTTTGAAAGCGGATTTTTATTAAAAAAAGGTTAGTAACTAAAGTTTACATTAACTTTTCAAGTGTTTTCAGTAACAGACACACTGCTGAATGTTTCATAGAACATCAGAATAAGGCATTCTTTCTAAGCTGATGCAAGCGCTTTGCAGATTATAGAAAAGTGTTCCAGCCTTAGGACAGAAATAAACTTTTGTTGTCCGAAATCTCCTCCAAAGTTTTTAAGCATGCTGTCTCAAGCTGAGCAATAAGAGAATAGCTATTAGATATTGATAGTTCTTTATCTGAGGGCTACACAGAAATATGTCAGTATATAAAAATTCTTCCAGTTTGCCAGGTTACACAAAAGCATTCTCTTGGCAATCAGTGGAATCTGGTGCACAACTTTTTGGTTTTCTCTTGATTTTTTCATTCCTGTTTGTTTTGGGTTTTTTTAAATGCAGTTATTTTGTATTAGCACATAAAGTGTGTTGGCAAGATACCAAAAGTAAGTAAAGGCAAGTAACACATAGTTTGATGGATGCATAGATTTTGAGGCCAGAAAGCACCATTGGGAAGACAAGTCAGGTCAGAGACATAATTTTTTTGGAACTATAGCCATATGAAATCTGTATTTTGCAGTGAGAGTGAATCCACCGAATTTGGATATGTTGTTTCAAGGGATAATTACCCTACTTGCCAAAATTTGCTGCTTCTTACAGACATTGCCTGGAGGTCTGTGTTTTATTACTGTTTCATTAAGTGATGCCAATAACCTTTCTTTACACTCATTTATATATGTTTCCCTGTAATGTTAGAAAGAAATGATGTTGCTTGTAAACAATCTCAGTAGTGCAAAAAGAAAGGAAGCCTTGGTCACAGAAAGTTGTGTAGTAATCACCTGCCGGTAGGGTGTAAGCTTGTTTTAGGCTCTTGCTGATCATATTCAAGGTTACAACAAATAACAAGCAATCCATAATAATTTTTTTCTAATTTAACTGGGGGAGGAATTTCCCAGGCAGTCCTCCTCTTTGTCTAAGCTTGTATTGTCTAGGTCTAAGGACAGGCTACTCCTTACCTTCAACTAGATAGGAAAAATAAAGATTTCAGGGTTGTTTTTTTCTTCCCTCAAGTCAGGGATGCAAAAAAGTCATCAGTTCCAGGAATTTATTACTGGACACGTGTGTTTATTTTCTTTCAAGATGACGTATATCTGGGAATTTCTGGAGCAATGCTCATAATTTCATTTATTGAAACATGCTGTTTCATGCTTTATGTTAATACAGTAAATGGTGTCTCTTATTTTAAAAGTGAAATAAACCTTGTTTCCTTCTCTTTGACAGGTGCTTGTATGTACTTCATTTTAAATATCCAGTTTCAAACTGTTGCAAATTTCTCAAGGTGTTTAAAATGTGCCTGTCATTTTCATACGCAAATTTATTCACTTTTCTATGTGAATTTTCTATGTGAATTGACTGCTTTGACTGCACATCAGTTAAAATGTGAAAGCAGTGGTTTCTGTCCAGATGACAGCAAAAAAGTGAGGCCTATGTTTTATTTTTGCAGTGTATGTACAGAAAATTGAAATACAGATCTTGGTACACAATACTGGGTGCCTTAGTAAACAGATTAGAAATGCTGTCTGTTCCTGGGGTAGCTTTTTTTCTGCTTCTAGCAAATAGCTTACTAGCTGTGTAACAGATATTCCACCTTGCACCACACCAAAACAACTGTTAACAAGTCTCACCATATTGTATATTGAGAGTGATAAATGTCTTAAAGGGTTTTTTTCTGTTTTCAGTATGTCTGTGTTTTTTTCCAAATCCCCAATATTTGGGCTTTTGCAGCAAGTCTTTTGACCCACTGCAGAAAGCTAATATGGTTTTCCATTAGCAGTAAACAATGGTATTTTTGTTTGTGTTACAGGAAAATGATGAGCAGCAGTCCCAAGCAGTAACAGCTTTTCCACCAAAGAATTCTACTTCAAGGTCACCACTTTGCCTGTGTAAACAATCCACAAAACCTCTCTCTGATAATACTAGTGAGAGTCATATGATGCACAAAGCCAAAAATTCTCTAAATGAACAAGGATCATCTGAGCAAGATGAGCAAAAAGAAAATTGTAAGGTGCAGTAAATCTGTGTAGACTTAATCACAACTGAGAATAACTGATGATTAAAAACCAGTTTGTAAAATAAATATCAGAACTATATGGAAGGCACCATTTTCTCTTATCCAATGATTAACGATATATGGGATCTGTAAAGCTTTTTTTTGAATATTTACTAATACCAATAGTCAATCAAACTTGTGAAATAGTAATGAACTATAATTGTAGAATTTTCTGTAAATAGTTCTTTATAAATCTGTTAAAAAATTAAACCATGGAAAAAGCAGACCACATGTTGCCATTGTTGTTATTCTTTCTGAGTATCAATGGTTGATTTACAAATGCAAAATAAACTCATTTAAGTATCTCTAAAAATTTTAGCTTCCGGGAAAAATGACACAAACACCATTGGATGATTTAAAATGAAGCAGTGACATAATTTCTAAATGCAAGACAAAATATAAAAACAGATGTAAGATGCATCCAGTGTACAGGTCTAGTGTGCTGTGTCTTGGTATCTCTTGTTCCTGATGGATTAATATTATGCAAAGGGGGATGAGACATGGTCCAAACAAAGCCAAAGAATATTCCTTGAAACTAAGTCTGTTTTCCCTGAAACCAAGCATCTGGCAAACCATCTCTTTGTATTTCCCAGTATGTACTGGCTTTGACCATAGCTGAAGTTCTTACAACATTAATTTTCACTTCTGCAAAATGGCCCTTGGCCAGCCAGCAATCCTCTGCAAACTGAGGGGAGTACTTTGTTCTTGGCCAGAAAGGACACTGTAACAACACATTTGTGCTTGTTCCATGAACATCGGCTGTCTCCTTCTCTGCAGGTCACCCTTCACCCTGACAATGCTTAACATCAAATCTGTCACTTTATATGAAAATCACTGGAGGCTTGTACCTGATGTAATGAGTGGATGTGTTGGAAAAATGGTCAGGTGTCATGAAATATCTGCATAGAATGCCCTAAGTTAGCTCCTTTACATTTAAGAAAAATCATATTTGAGATACCAAAAGACAGTAACTTACCTGGAAATAGCATTTAAATAACTCCATCTAGTTCATGAAAGTGCACTTGAATTTAGGATGATTCATTACAAATACACTCACCCCAGCAAACTTCTACTTGTGGATTTCAAAGGTCTAACTGGTCTAACTGCTCAGTAGCACAGAGCAATTTTATGCTATAGAAAAGAGTGACATCAACTACATCAGTCATTATCCAACTGAACAAGAAATTACTTTCTGATAATTCATATTTCTTATGCTCACCTACCCTGTCCAGGTATTAGGAAAATCAAGCTCCTCTACATGAGCAGTAGTGCCCTAAGACTCCAAGATTCACAGCAGAGAGGCATTTTCATGTTGTTATTCTGTCAGAAAGATGTTTCTCCTTTCAACAAAAGTGGGTAATAATGTTTTCTACTTCTTGAAAAGGATTCTTTAACTTTAAATAAAAGATAATACCTTTGTTTTAAGTTGAACTTTCAAAGTGTAACAATTGCTTCTGTGATGAGACCTTCTACTTGAAGGTGAGTTAATTTTATGCTCAAAGCAGTGTTTTTTTCTTTTTGCATACACATACACACCATTATTCTGCTTTGTTTGCAGCATTGTCTGTTAGAATACAGTCAGTTTATGAGAACAAATAATCTACTCATCAGTCTAACTGAAAAAAACTTTAACGAAATTGAGCATTTGTATCAAATGAGTAACAAATCAGACAAACAAAAATACGGTTCAAAAGAACAAAATCTTATATGACCTTATCCTTTACTAACTAAGGTTATCTGTGGTTGGTGTAGGATCAGTAAACCTTGTGGCTTTTTCTTAAACATCTCAAATTGTTTTTAACTTAAGTATTAGGTAATTAAAACAATCCTTGTGGCACTATGCCTAGAGGCATTTTCCAGAGAGACTGAAAGGGGCCCATCTTAAAGGATGCATTTTATTGCCTCATCTTCTGTCAGGATACTGACAAAGCTGCTTGTAAAAATTAAATTATTTCAGACAGGTTTTATGTGGTGAACTTCTTTAGGGATCATCTGTGGAATTAGCAATTTTTTAAAAAATTAAGTCTCAAGGTAGAAGCCGGTATGTGAAAAGGCACTGGTAGCGGACAACAGAATAAACCCAAACAAAACTAGTATGTTTTATTTATCCCAATCATTGTTTTTCTATTTTAATCTGATGCCTTGAAAAGTGTCCCACTTGGAGAAGAGTGTGGAAAAAACATCTATCTTTAGAAAGCTGTCTAATCTTAACCAGACAAATTTAAACAACTATGTTATAATGAAAGAAGCGACTATCATCAGTAAAAGAAAGGATTGAGGCTTTAGTCATTACATATTTTCCTACTTGGCTGCACTTGTATTTTATAAGTGTTTAGATTTCATTAAGTGTGAAATGTTTGCATTTTGAAAGATTGTAATGCCTGGGTTTTTTTCAGTAACTAGTATGTATTGTGGTACTAGCTAGTCTTAGCTTTTTCACATATAAGCTAATATAGGTTAAGATTTTAAAGAGATCTTAGATTACTGCCTAAATCTCTTGAAAGTGGGACTTAATATTCTACATCCTCTTGCAAACTGATGAGATTTCAGGTTGCAATTCACATAGGGAAGCTGTATTGAAAACTTAATTTCCAACCTATCTGTATATCAAGCATGCAGAGGAAAAAAATCCAAGTGCTTTATCAGGATTTCTCATAGGATTGTCAACTATCTGTAATGAATTAAAGGACACTTGTATCTGGCTTTCTATTCTGATTGTGAAAGCCCCTGTAAAAATGTCTTTGGTGCTCTGGTATTGTTCTCAGCATGCTAACCTGGTTGTTGCCATAGTGATACTGTGTTACATCCTGGGCAGATGCATTAGGTGGATCTCTTCTTCGTTTTCCTGTTTACCCAAGGTTTACATTGTAATTGGTGTAAAAACTAGTTCGCTGTCCCAACTGATTTTCAATGCTCTCTGAAATGCCCAAAACTGTGAGTTAAAAGCACGTTGCAGGAATGTTGGCATCCTTTTGCCATGTGCCCTCACAGCTGATGGAAAGGTGTGGTTGGTTTGTGATGTTCAGCTCTTTCTTCAGGCCTTGAACTATTCTTGTCATTTTTACCTAGTAATGAAAGAAAAACATAAAAGGAGATTTGTTTGTCTGCTGCTTGTCCATGACTATTATTAAGGGCCAACTGCTGTCTCATGTGTCAGAATTCAAAATGTTCCCAGGTCATGTCCTGCCCCGACTTCTGGAGTCCTCTTGGCTCAGGGATAATCAGGAGTTCTCCAGACCTTGAGTGCAGAAACAATACAGCAGTGGCAGGGCTCAGATAGCCCTGTGCTTCCTGTGGCATAGCCACAATCTAAATAACTACCATTTGGGTAGAGTTTGTACAAATTTTTTAAAAATTTGTAGGACAAATGCCATTTATTGAACATGGTCCTGTGCTACTTTCTCAAGCCTCAGCTTCCAACAGATGCTCTGCACTGCATTGCAGTTCCACCCTTGGGTGCAGTGCTGCCATCACTAATGTCTGCTGGCTCACAGCAGGTCCACTCAGAAGGGTCTGACAGTCCAGTAACAGCCAGCGGGAGGGAGAGATGGAGCTGAAAGAAGAATCACACTCTGGCTATCCAACTTACTAACTTGGTTGGTGTGCCCTACAGTTGATATGGTGAACAATCCACAGTGGTGGACAATCTGAACACTGTACAGTAGGGAAAGCAGTGCCACTCCATGGCCCAGGTGCCAGAGAACACTCCGTACTTGTCCCAGAGCTAGTTTCCTTGTTCCTCCTATTTGAGATTTCAGCTGTCTAACCTTTAAAATGATTCCATCTCCCTCTGCTTTTGCTGTCTTATCCTAAACAGCCACAAATTACAAAAGGCTGCCAGTAATTTTTTGCAGAAAACAATTGAAAACAGCTGTTTGAACTTCTTAACGATGTTGACAACTGAATGCAAGGTGGACTATGGTGAAAGCAGACTGCAATAGCAGTACTCAAAAGCCATGTGAATTTGCTTTATATATGGACTGGTCTGTGTATATTTCTTGTGACAGAAGATGATCTCTGTATGTATATGTGCGTGTGCATGTTCTTTGACACACTTGTAGGCACACCTAAGCACTTATTTCAGTGTAGAGTTCAGAAACTATGGAACTCAGAAAAACAGGATATTGCTATAAAATAGCTAAATCTGCTTAGCTTTTTGCATGGTTTTATTTGTCTGCCTGGAAGCTTTTTTAACAGCAGAAAAATCATGATCTCTATTGACAATTCAGCTGTTGAAACACTTCAGTGAAAGCTCTGATGATAGATGGGTGCACAGAAAAATCAACAGCTTTCTGTATTTTGCTTTTCTGCTACTGTGCTTCATAAATTAGACAGATGAAAGCTTAGTGAGAGTCTGCTCTGTACTAGGCAGTGTTTCAGGGTTCCTTTATTTAGGCAGCCTGCTGAGTACCACATAAAATCAGTGTAAATACACTTGATCTTGTGAAAGAAGATTGACTTTTCATCAAGACTGTGTACCCACATCAGACTATTGATTTTTTCTGTTTTAGAGGCAAAACAGGGAAGTGGGAAATTATTAATTGTGCTTGGGGACTTCAATTTCTTTCTTTCTTTTTTTTTTTTTTTTTTTTTTTTTTTTTAGTATAGAGAAAGGGAAATGTTCTGTGTTCTTTTGACCCCAAGTTGAAAAATACTCTGTTTTCAGCACTACTGTTGGTATTTAAAGATATGCATAGCTTTAGGCACTGCCTGGCACCGAGGGATGGAAGATTTTAGTTCTCCTGATGGGAGCATAGTTTGGATTAAATTAATTTTAGATTAACTTAATTAACTTGGATTCCAATCACAGAGGCTAAAAGTAGTAAAGGAGATGACCATTTGGATTTTTGTTTCTTGTCAATATCTTGTGAGCAATTACAGAGGGAAAGAATCTGTTTTGTATTCCTGAATCTTCTACTTGCTCAACTGCTTATTTAACTTGGTTAGCTGCTCTTCTACCTCTCTTTTTATATGAATGTTTTTTGTCTGGCTTTTGATATTATCCTCAGATCAACAAATCTACTGCTGAGACAGGCAGCTACCCATGAAAGTATTGGTTTATATCAAAGAGTCTAAATAACAATGTCCCATTAACTGCACATCCCCTTACACAGTGTTGTCAGTATGTGTAGGAAGGGTACTAAATTATTTGTTCAGGTGTCTCAATCCCCTTTGCTAACGTCTTTGACAAAGCAGCATGCTTGTGTTGTAATCATCATTTTAATGTGCTAAAATGACATGGGAAAAAATGAAAGGTCAGTGAACCAACTGCAGGGAAGACAATATAGCCTTAAATGCTCTGCCAGAGCTTCTAAAATGTAGGTTAGTTGGCGGATTGAGTTCACGTTGTGTTTGGCTACAGCTTAGAACTAAAAACTGGGGAAAATAGTCTTTTCTTTGCTCTAATCCTGATACACTCAGTCAACCCAACCTGTTGTAGGACTGGTGCTGGAATAGCCATATTCCATAGCCAGATGACTGGTAAAGGGTTGTTCCCTGCTCTGATGAAGGCTAGCAAAGGAGAGCAAGCATTAATGAAGATTTTTTTCCCCACTTGTTTCTTATCCCATACCTCTTCATTAGCAGAGAAAAGTGGGGGATTTTGCAGTCATTTTAAAGGCAGTTCTCCTGGTTTCAGCCACCACAGTTGCTATTTCTGCATTGCTGTCTAGGGTACATTGAAAAAAATGTTGATGGGAATGTAAGAGATTGCTGGCTTGCTGTAGCAGGCAGGAGGATTCCACAAACTCACATTGTCCCTGTGGTACACTGGAGATACTTCTATAAATTCAGTAATGCAGCTATGATTATTCTTCTCCTCGCCTCCCAATTAACCAGTACTGCACATATTGTTCCCTGTCAAATATCTTATTTTGTCAGATGCCAGAGAGCAGTGTTGTTCTCTTTTTAAATTGCTGGTTTGATTTCTGGCAGTACTTGATTGCTTTAAAATGTGCTTTCTGCATCCATTTTCCTCAATACTTAATTAACTGGAGAAAACGACTGAAATGAGGTTTCAGTTAAGTAGGTGTTTCACTTTTGTCCCCACTATCTCATTCATTTATTTCCTCTAACTCACTCAAGTAGTCTCAGAGACTTTCTTTTTCCTTTGCAAGAAATTTTGCAGTCCAGACTACCTCTCTTTTAGCTAAACCCTCCTGGAAAATCCCATTCTGAAAAGAAGCACAGAGGCAAGACTGCAGAAGAGGTGGACTCCTGTAAACTACCCTGGAGCAGAGCTCCATAAAACACACTACATAAAGTAGCAGCAAATTTACCTTCTCTTTGTAAGAATAATGTGGAAGACTGCCACATTAAACCTTAGGACTGCATGTAGTCCAAGGTTATGCCTACCACATGCACAGGTTCCTCAGGGGTAAGACACCAACTTGAACATCCAGAATTCATTGGAGCAAAACAGGCCTTTTTTCCATGTTCTTCTGTGATCCTGTGTGTTTTTGTATTTCAGCCTTTAAAAGAGCCAAGACAATTGTAGCTAAATACGTGAGTGATCCAGTGTAATCATAATGGGAGAAAGGAAAATGGTGACGAAATTTGCAGTCCATAGTTGGGATTGCAGATAGTTAAGTAAGCAGGCAAACAGTTCACCTATCTTGAAAAATACATGACTAGATTCTCAGTGGCAGATGATTGCAGAATGCACTGAGAGTGTCTGACCAAGTGCCTTGACTTAGTCAAGACTGAGAAAATTATTAATATTACTGTAAGAATGAATCAAATGGAAAACGAATTATGGATTATTTAATTAGGATTGCTAGAGCATCCTCACTCAACTTGGCTTTATTAGGAGATGATAATCATGACGGCCTTTTTGTTCTGTAGAAGAAGACCTGTGGGTATTCATGACATGGAATGGAGTCTAGAAGCTGTCATATAGAAAGGGAAAAAGGATGGGCAGACTCAGAGGAACTTACTGGGAAAAACTTATAACTCTGGTTCAATTTGAAGATCATTACAATGGCCATTCAATCTTAAGCACTTTAACAGAAAATTAGTTGCTCTTGCTGAAACTTATTAAAGACAATGTACACTCTCCATGAGCTGGAAACACATAATGTCCAGTGTTTCAAAAGAAATCACTTTTGTAGCTCAACATATCAGTGTTCAGAAAATACGGAGCAATAAGAACTCCTTGTGATAGGGATCCAATGGATTCCTCCACGCACACGTGTCAAACTGACTGATAAGATTTGCAGTCTTCAGTATCTTATTATTTTGAGAAGTTTATGGCCATGATAGACATTAAGAAATACCCAAGAATAATGAAAAGAGCAACTTTAAAACCTATTCTATGGCTCTAAAAGGATTCTTACAATAATTTCTGGACTAATACAAAAGTTACTAAAACCTATTCCCAAGGCTACTCTTTGTAAATATTATAAGGTAATTTTTTATCTTCTGTGTTCTGTTTTGCTGAGTTGACTGCTAAAGTGAACCTTCAACAAAAGGGAAAAATCTAGTACAGCAGTCAAGGCTATGGAAGGCTGTGAGGACTGTGAGAGTTTGTGGCCAGGCCTGCACAGTGCTGAGCCAGCAGATTCAATCCTGTGTTGTAACTATCAGTTAACCGTATTGTAACTGTGAAAGTTTCCCCTCTAGATCTCATTTTGAAGCTTGGTGACATATAACTAAATCATAGTTTGGGGTTAGGCTTGGTTTTAGTGGCTGAAGTAATCAAAGCTGTCAGCTATGCAGATGTGAAGAGTCTACTGTACACATGTCCACTGGTAGTGAGATGGACCATGTTTACGTGATACTCATCCAATTTTCCAGTTGTCTCCATGTATGGAAACTCTGGTTTCCATAGGCAGATACCTGTGTACTTGAAAAAATGGGTATTTGCCACTGCAAGCACACATCTGAATGTGCATATGAAATGGGGAGAGCTACACAGTATATACGGCCAGAGCAGGCAGTGAAATTAGTACATCCAATTGAAAATCAGAAGAATTTTAAGAAACTGAAATTAAACTATTCATGCTGGAATTTCTAAAAAATATTAGCCATGTCGCTTTGCCAAAACAGAAGATTCCTACTTTAAGTCCCATGCTGAAGAGAACTTGTTTCACAGGACACTTCCCTTTCTGCCTGTGATGGGGCCAATGGGTTAGTATTGGTTTGGAAGAAAGTTTCCACATACCAGATCGCTGACCTTTTCTGTTATGAGAAGAATAAACTTGGGTCCTGTGCTCATCTCAGAGCAGTCATTTTCATTTTTACTGGTTTACTTTTAAGACTTTCCCATGTGCAGTATCTAATTACGGTACATTACAAAATTCTGTACTTAAATGGTAGCAGTGCACAGAGCTGAAAGGGACTGTTGCTTATTCACTTTGATGATTAAGCCACTAATTATTGCATTAGCATCCCAAACCACACTTGTTTCTGATGTATCTCCTCCTAAAGCAGTCCCACGAGATATGATGGGCTAAGTAGAAAGGGTATGGCGCTTGGAGAAGGGAAGGGCAAAGAACATGTAGGAGATGGTGCCAGGGATTAAGCAGAGGTTACTTTCTCCTGTGTCTGCTTCAGTGTGACTCAAGATAGTGCTGGGGTGTGGCACATCAAAAAAGGATTTTTTGGCCTTAGAAATGTTAAAATAGACCTTTTGACTAAGGGCTATGAAAGGCCCTATGACACTTCCTGCCAGGTCTTATCGCTGAGGCTATACTCACACAGTAATCAAAGGAAATAATTTTGTTTGGTTAAATAAAATGGGCTTTCAGCTTCCACACCACTGTGGTGTTCAGCTGCCTGTGGTGTTCTGTGTTCCTGTCCTGAAATGTTTGGTAACACTGCTGGATGCCATTTATCAGCTGTCTTCCATCTTCCCCTCACCTTAGATAAAACTTTTGGTGTCGTTACACTGTACTGTTTTAAGCATGAACACTTTATGATCCTCCTAAAACAAAGACAAACCAAGTGTAAGATACTACTTTGTGTCTTCAGAAGCTTTTGGCTTTACATGATAAAATTCCAGGAAATAAATTAGTTGAACCGGTTTGCTCATTGGAAGACTGATGGGCACTGGATCCCTCACCCCTTCAAGCACTGTTTAGTTTCCCATCAACTTCCTGAAATTATTCACTTACAGACCCATTTCAGTGGCTATTTCAAGCCCAGGAGGGACACTTTTTCCACTTTCCTGGATTAGAAGAGCTACTCTTTTACCTGTACCTCTTAGCAAGAACCAACAATTTTTTTTTCTCCTTAAGGAAATATTTTTCATTGAATTGATGGCTGCTCGAACTGTATCTGAGTATGGATCAGTTTCTGTAGCAGAAATGTCCTCCTTGCACTTCTAAGGTATAAAATGGCCTGATGTTGGATTTGAGCAAGTGGCTAGATAAAAAAAACCCCAACTTTCACAAGCTTTCCTGAGTGGAGACCATTTCAGTACTACAGAAAAGGGGGGAACCTCTTTGCTCTGTGAAAATTTGTTAGAAAAACTCTCCAGTTCCTCAATTAGTGTGCTAATTAATTGTAGTTCTAAAACATAAAAGAATGTTTGAACATCCAGGGCTGGGCAGGTGAAAAGAAGCCTCAGTTGAAGATTTCTAAGTAGACCACTGAATGCAGCTTGCAGAGGTAGTGAAACAGCGTGAACAGCAGAAATAAATCTTGGTGGAAGGACTGGTGCACGCTTTCTCCTGAACATGCTATTTGAAATTGCATGTTCTGAAGCAAAAAAAAAAATTAAAAATTGCTCCTCTGACACCTTGATGAATCAGATTGAAAATTACCTTGGGCTGGAGTCCAGTGATAGAACTGCCCTCTCTGCCCCACTTTACACCAGTAATTATAACGTGCAGGTATGTAGAAAACAGGATCTAAGGTGAAGATGCCAGTCATTTTAAAAGGCTCTTATATTTGAGGCACTGTCTTTCTTTCCTCCATCCTATATTCTTTCTTCACTCTCTTCTTCTTTGCTATGCAGTTATCTATTTTTTCCCCTAACAGAATTAGGCAATTAATTGCATTCTTCTTTCCCTCAGTCACTATATAATATCCCATTGAGTGTGTAACCTTCTCCTTGGAAGAGCAATGGTGCTATTCTCTTTCTAAAAGCTGGAGAAAAGGCTGCAGGTACTAAAGCCATGAATCCCCTGGTAAGTGGTGAGGATTGCTCAGCTGTGATGTGGGGCCAAACATGGATGGTGGGTCAAGCCATGCGTTTGGATGGGTTTAAGCACCCTCATGATGTACGAACTGGCAGTAGACCAAAGTGGAGGTTGTTTTAGGGAACAGATCTTAGACACTGTGCTGGAGCAAATGCCAGCAGGAACTTGGAGAGGGGTGTGTTGGTTTTGGATAGTAAGCACACAGAAGAGCAGAGTCCAGAGAAGGAAGTACCCAAATAACAAGTTGGCAGGTATCCAGGATGGGTAAAAAAAGACGCTGCAAAGACCTTGACAGATGTTTCCATCTTGTTATTTTGTCTGTCTGGTCCAGAAAACAGTGATAGTAAACAAAAAGAGTTTGGTTTGAAGACAACAAATGAAAAGGGAAAAAAATATTTTTGTAGGACAAAAGTCCACTCTCTGTGGAATTCATTTCCATCCACTGGCCAATTCACTTTTAAAAGCCTGAAAGCAATTCAGCTTCCATTACTTCTCTTGTGGGAACTATGCCTGTTCTAATAAATGTCACTGCTCACAAGCTTCTCCTGTGTAAGTTATGTTTACACTTCTCATTTAATCTTTTCAAAAAACAATTCTTTCTCCTGTGTGCTGTGTTCTTCTAATACAGAGAGGCAGTTTGGTTCTTTTTCCTTTCTTCATTGCATGGCTAAACATGCAAAAATCTTTAATTCAATTATTGGCCAATTACTTTTATTCCTCTTTTTCGAGTTTCTTTAAAGTCTTCAGTCAGTATTTTTAGAGGGGAAAACACCAGGCTTAAGTTCTACTCAGGTTCAGAACAATGCATTCCTAGATATCAAACATTTTCCAGTAGGACATAGTAGAAATCTGCTCCTGTTTACAAACTTTTCCTTCTGGAAGGAATCATATACCTTCAATTTTCTGTTAAAGGTTTCTCAGCTCTATCTCTAAGGCAACAGTTGACCTTACAAATCTGCTCAGCATCCTCTAGTCAGATGTAAACTACATATCCTCTCAAATTGAGGTGCAGCTGCTGATTTTTTTCCCACAAACCAACTTAAATTGCAGCTCAGGTCATTTCTCAAACACTTTTTCACCTACTGACTGTCATTCAGTCCAGCAACTAAACAGTTACCAAAACACCATCTCTCCCCTAATTGTAGCACTTCGAAAGACAAAAATAACATTCTGCATTCTAATTATTTTATAATTCCTCTGATTGTTATTTATTCAATGTGCAAATCATGCGTGTAACTCCCACATGCCTAGTGTTAAAGAAAATACAATACTAAATGCTTACAAATTTGCAGGAACAAATAGGCAAAGGTAGCTCATTTAAAAGCCACATTATGCCAGTCCCTCAGAAATGTTCCCATTTGAATCTGCTGAAGTTATACGAGCTTTGGAGTGCATGTCCAAGCCCTTGACCATGAATTCTTTGGGTCATCAGACTCGATGATATGCCTTTTTGTATAGAGGCCTTTAAAGTCAGATCTAGAGGAGGACTGGAGCATCAAATCCCTCTCAAGGCTGGAATTAGCACTCTTATTCCCTATGGGAGATAGGAGAAGCGTTGGATGAAAGAGCCCCATGACCCAAGCCCTGTGCACTGGGCAGGGACCCCTCAACAAGCAGCTGGCAGGCAATGCAAGTGGAAGGCTGTGACTGAACTCTTGCACTCTCTGTGGAGCTCACAGTTCTGCTGTAGGCCCTTAGGAAAGTGTTTTTTATTTCATTTTCTTTCCTTTAATACAGAGACTTTAAAGAAGAAGGAATTCATATTATCAGTTATTGATAAGGAGGAAAACCCAGTGCCTTTTAAATGAGTGCTGCAACCTCAGTTTGCACTGCTGGCATCTCCCACTTTGCTCCTACTATCTAACCTAGAGGAATTAGTTCAAAAGCTCAGCTGAGTTATCTGCTCAGGAGGTAGAGTGTTGGATTTGGGTTTCCTCAGTCTGGGGAAGGCATTGGAAGCTGCCTACCCCATTTCATGGCCAAATGCTTCAACCAATCTGGGATAACAGCAAAGATAAAGATAATGACAACACCACTAATGCCATCTTCTCTGTGAATGACTTTTAAAAGGAAAACAGTGTGTTCCTTACAATTTTTCAAGAGCAGTTATAAGCCCTGCTCTCAGGAGAGGGCTCTAAACCCTGGATTAAAACAGGCAAAGTTGCTTCCACTCATCCTAGAAAAGATACCAGACTTGCAGAGGAGAGAAACAGACTGTGGCTGTATATTTGTGCCTGGCATTTCCTATTGCCCCTTCACAGGCCTCTTCCCTCTCAGCATGGGAGATGTTCAGATAAGCATTTTGAGGTGTATAATTCTCAGCAGGCACCACATGGGGAGACTTCATATTGGACTTAGAGTATTAAGTGGTGACCAAACTCCTAAACACAAGCTATTGAAACACAAGGTCTTCTTACTTGATCTAGCCACAGCCTACAAGCCTTTCTTGCTCCAAAAAACGGCAGTCATAGCAAAAAAGTGCAGCAACAAGCATTCTTCATGAACAGGTTTTGTGTAATGAAAGCCATTCTGCATGCTAACTACATTATCTGTCTTTTAGAAAACTTATTAGAGTAATACACAAAAATGTACAGAAAAATCTCTCTTTACCAGTGCTCCATGGAAAACGCCCTTACTGATGCTTTTGCAGAGGGAGTTTCTTCTTGCCTTTTATTAAATTGCACACTAGTCGATCTGCCATAAATTGTTGCTCAGCATTGATATACAACATTTCTACTGGAGGTGACAGAAGATTTAATACTAGACATTTTTTGCTCACCTCATCAAGGTTATGCCTCTTACTTTTAATGTGCATTTGAAATACATCTTCTAATGCCCTTAAAAGAAAAAAAGAGGAACATCAGTGCAAAAACTCCAACGGTTCAAAGGCTGTAAACTTTTAAAATGAAAAATAACTACTCAGCCTGTCTTTCAGATCACTTAGAATGCATCCCAGCTTTTCGCTTTTGCTCCATCCCCTCCCTATCCCTACTGTACTTGTAAGTAACTAAAATATTAAGGATTTTAAGGTTGTTGATATTGCCATTCCAAGTGCACGCAGTTTGGAAGGAACTATGCTAGGGATAGACTTTCATGTATATAATTCCAATTTCTTCTTCCACATTTAATAAAAATGTTAGAGTATTGGTGCTCTCCATCACAGGGTAGTAGTTCTCTGTATTTAAGGTGGGGCCTAAGCCTTTAGACTTTTCTCTCATTAAAACCACCAATTCTTTACACTGATTGAATAATTGGTCAAAATTTTGTTACTCAAAGGAATAAACATGAAAGGCAAAGCACTTACTCTCTGTGATAACAACTTCTAATCAAAATATCATTAGTGAGATCTTGAAGAAAGCGAAGATACTCTTCTTCTCTATAAAAATACAGCAGTTGTCAGCATCTTTCTCTAACATATACTAAATGCAAGTAAGGTTTACAATACCATCCAAAGAAGCAGAAGTTTTAGAGTAATTAAACTAGCTCAAATAAAGAGTTTTGCCAACCTATCCAAAAGCGATGAATCTGTTAACTAGTCTGCATTTTTTTACTATTCAGGTTTATAAGTTTTAAAATGATAAATTTTGACAGGTCTGTTGGTCAACTCCCAGTTACTTTAATCCATTAATTTCATTAAACGAGAATATCTATGCCTTTTGTGAATAAACAGTTAAAATAGTTCCAATTAACAAAGTGTAGGTATTAGAAGATAAATTACTATTAATATTGTTTATTTATTATTTATCCTTACCATATTTATTTTGCCTACAGTAAGAGGAATGGCATGACTAAGAAAAGGTCTTCCAACTTTCTGATTTCCCAAGGAAGTAACTGAATCCCGCATTCCCAGCAGAGTCCCTCTACTCACTGCATACAGCTATTGGTAATTGGCTCTTGTGCCTTGTTTTCAATTTTCCACCAAACTCCTACTTTAATATTTTGATATAAAACTTAGAAACAGTTAAAAGTGACTAACAAATATTTAACTTACTTTTCTTCAAATTGTAATCCTGGAAAAAGTGGCATTTCAGAATTTTGAATCCACAATTCACGGTTCTGCCACAAAAAGGAAAAGGAGGTAAATGTAGATAATTTGTTTAATTATCTTTGTATTAACATTATGTATTTCCACTCAGAGTACCCGGGGAAATGATCTGATTTCACAACATATCAAAATCACAACAACATCACATGGCAGCTCATGTGAAATGAACGTCTTGAGAGTCAATCACTCACGTAAATAACGAACAAGTATTATTATTAGGTTCGTTCATGTGGGAATGAACTTGTCCATTTCCAGAAATGGAAACCAGTTTGAACTATCTGAAAGAAATGATACAAATGCTATGAAGGAAATAAGAAATTCTGACAAAACTGAAAAACTTTACGGACTTCGTACTTTTTCTTTAGAAGGAAATGCAAAACACATTTGTATCCTTGAAAGAGGACTTAGAAAACCAGATTGACATAAAAATTATCTTTTGCTGTGGCTCATCAAATGAGGATAGGAGCTTCTCTTGATAATATTGTTAAATGAAGGTTTTGGTGGTTTTGAGCAAGGAATCAAATGGTACTATCTAGCATAGGGCTATCACAAATCATGTCTGTGGTGCCTTGGCAGAGCTGTGTAGAAATTCAACATGGATTCTGTAAAGGGGTGTGCGGGCCAAGGAATCATACAAAATTTCTCTATCTTCGGCTATTGCCTTAGTTACTGTTAAGCAGCCCTTATTTTTAAGAGCACTAAATTCATGAAATCAATTCATCTCAAAAATCCAGATGACTCATGGAGTACAACTTCCAGACAAAGTCTTGTACAAATACTACAGTAGTGACCACAGACTGAGAGAATAGCACTTTATCTGGACATTTACTGGCTCCAAGTTATTATTTGTATGGACTCAAAGGCTGTAAACCAACCAAAAAGTAAGAGGTCAGTCAAGTAGGGAACGAGCTCTGCTTTCAGAAGATTAGATTTGTGTTGGGATACAGTGTTTTTCATATTGCATAATGCCTCATTTGTGTTTCTCAGAGAGCCCAGTTACTCTAGCTGTTCCTATTTTATTCATAGTGTCTGTTGACCCTATCTGGCCCTGCATGATAAGTTTCTCAATTGCAATCTTAGTCACTTCTCATAAGATGATTTAATTTTTTGGTTTTGCTCTTTACATATATTCAGCAAAGCCAATGAATCCATTATCCATTTCATTTCCACGTAACCAGGACACTTTTGTGTATGAACAGTATGCTTCACTCTTTTTACTTTGTAACACACTGAGTACACCAACCTCAACTGGCTGTTGAGAGAAGTGAACAGAATGGGGTCTCACGTGTGAATCTTCTAAAAATCTGAAAGATTAAAAGCATGGTGAGAAAGAGTTATGATTCAAATAAGGTGTCTGAAAGCAGAGTTACTTAACTTTAAGCACTGATGTAAGTACCTGTGCAACTCGCTTTTCTTTTCGTTACTGATGTCTGATGATTTAAATGGTGGTCTGCTAGGGGAGGAGCTCCTTTTTCTTGAAGGAGGATTATAATACCTATACTTCATAAGAAAAGATTGATGTGATGTCTTTAAGATCCGAGGGCTAAAACATTGCTTCTTTTCTGTAAAGTAGGCTGAATGTCTGTCCAGGAGGTCCCCAGAGTATGTTTTATGAACAGAGTTTTGAAATGCCTTCTTTGTGTTGTGACTGCCCAAATGCATGCGAGATCGCAGAAGCAGTGAAGCAGATGATCTGTCTGTACTGGAGTTGTGAACAGGAGTCTGAGACAAAGCACATGGAGCACCATTTGGGATAGACCTTCTTGCAGCAGGAGCTGGCATCAGAGTCCTTGAAGTGAACTTCTGAAATGATACAGAGGGGGGCTGCTCTCTCTTTGTTCCGGAAGAGTTGTTCCAACCAGATGTCAAATATGGGTGACCATTTTTCAACAGTGACCACCTCATCTGTAAGTTAAAGAACAAAACTGACAGAAAAAAATCACAGAAGAATTTACTGAAGACAGTGCCTCCTACAAATTAATTCACACAGGAGGAATTTTAAGAAACTGTTTTCAAACTGAGTCAATTGGTCTAAATGATTTATTTTGTTTTCGGAACTGCAGTTAGGAGTAAAGCAAACCTGCCGCTGTGCTTGAGATAGTTAACCAGTCCTCTTCCTAGTTTCTTTTTCTTTCCTCCTCTTTACAAGGTTGAGATTTCTAATGACAAATAGTCTTAAAAAATTACAGAAATCCTATTTTGATTGCCAGGGCTCACGGAGGGAGAATAGGACACTTTTTTCTGCCTTGCACATTGTGTGTTCCCATCTATGAAATTCATGACTCAATGTCAGTCTCACGGTCCTTCTTCAATGGCACCTTCTATTCTCTCTCTCTGTGTGCCTGTGCAGGTGCGAGCATGGCTCCATCTCATGAGTTTGAAGTCAAACAGAGCCACTGTTTTCCTCACAAATACCTTAGGTGAAATTGTGGCCTACTATTTTGCTACTTATATCACTGGGAGCAAGATTTTACAAATCAAAATAATGCACATTTGAATTGGATGACGTTGTTTATTAACAGTATAATTTGTAATCCAGTGGTAAACCAGTCTAAACATAGTCTGCTGAGGAATTTTTGTCCCAGAGAGACTCTGGACTATGGCAGAACGAAATGTTTTGCAAGAATTTGTATAGTGAGATGAGGTCCACTGATAGAATTTGGTGAAGAAAGGTCTGCTCTCACTAGTATAAGGTTGTACAGTTTGTGGTATCTAGCAAAATACATAGAATTAGGAATAACTACTTCAGGGTCTTGCTGTTATCAGTAAATAACATTCTGAAATTCAGAGGATACTGTAAAACAATGTACAATTATTGCATTGCATTCAGTAGGAAAAAAAATTATTGAGATTTCATTCTTTTGAAAATATTGTGTACAGAAATCATCCTAATAAGAATGTTGTCACACAAAACAGCAAATCATTTCAGTAAATTCACTCAATGTAGGTTTTTTTCCTGGGCTCCCACGTAATACTCTGGCCTTGTGAGTGTCATGCACACATGACACTTTCAGAGCAGGGACACATTTTAGTCATGTACACATAGTCATAACGTGAATATCTGTCATTGTAGGCCATGAAGGGATTGCAACAGTGCCATGGGAGGACAGCTGCCACTTGGCAAGACTGAGAGTCAAATATTATCTATGCTTCACTAGACTATAAAAAGCCACATTGAATAAACCTGCATGAAACTTGTGTTACAGGCACTCCCCAGCACCACAGAGTACAGCTAATTAAGGGGAAAATGGTCTTATTCACGTGACTCAGCACTACCTGTTAGAATATCACATACCTTCTGCTGGCTTGGAGAAACACTTCTGGAGTTGAATGGTGTGGCAGGAAGACTGCGTACAAGATCCCTCTTATATTTTTCAAGGGTTTGAATTAGTCTGTCTCTTTTCTGTTGATCCTTGTCTGTACATGCAAATATGAAAAAAACAACCCTTTCCAGTTTAATCAATGATCAAGTCACAGAGTATCACTCTTCATTCTTCTTTTCGCCAGTAAAAACTATTCTGTCTCCTCCTCTTAATACCAAGTAGCAGACAGAGAATGCAATCATACTACTTTTTACATTTGGCTCTTGCTGATTCCATGCTCAGCACACATCTGAATTTGAAATCAGTGTGAGCCAGGACTCCATTCCATCACTCACACAGTAAGTAATGAGCTATTGGAGGGATAAAAGAGCATGGCAATGTTCTGTTTCCGCCCCTTGCACATTCTTTCCCTTATCCTAGAAAGAAGCTGAGGCAGGTAAAACAGAAGAGCTGAGGCAGTCGAGTGAGAATTCAAGTCTACACATAAAGAGTTGGGTGACCAAAGTCAGGCTGCCACTGTGTTCTGTGCAGACTGCAATGTCAAGAAAGTCTGCTTTCTGTATTGGTTAAACTCAGGCTGAGAAGAGTAGGGCGACACTTCTGCTAGCCCCTCACACACTAAAAGAACAGAACAGGCTTAGTCTTTTGGGACTGGGACAAAAGAAGTGGTGGATGACCCATCCCCAAAGTGCTCAAGGCCAAGTTGGATGAGACTCTGAGCAATTTGGTCTATTGGAAAGTGTCCCTGCCCATGACAGGGGGGTTGGAACTAGATGATCTTTAAGGTCTCCTCCAATCCAACCCATCTGTGATTCTACGATCTTCTGATCTTCCTGAAAATATGCAAGTTAGAGAAGAAATAAGAACACCTATTCTTTTAAGCATTATTGCTATATAGGATATTACACAATTTAATATGGAATATATTATATATTACGTATTATAAAATAATAATAAGGAAACACAGAGATAAGAAGGGGAAATGAGTTACCCAAGACCACAGAAGCCCATAGGGGCATATTCATGTATGATGTAAAGCATTTCACAATTTTCCAGCTTTTGACAGAATCTTACTTTTAGCAATGAAAATAGGAATGATGCATGATCAAAATTTTCAATTCTTTTACCAGCCATGTTCCTTCCATACACAGCTCTGAGAAAAAGGATATGAATTTTGATGTGCAACAACACATTTCTCTTTGTAGATAGTGTTTAAAAAATAATAGCCCCTGCAGTTCTAGCTGAAACTAAGGACTCACACACAAAATATCATAAAGTGGGGTCCACTGAGGTCCCGCCAACTGCATATGGCTCTTTTGAGTTGAAAATGCAGCTCTGTCATAATTTCTTTGCCCTATGGAAGTCTGACATGTGGCAGCACATGTCAATACTGCCAGGCAGGCCAGCAGAGAGCTGTGCTCTCCTCCTTCCCCTGTGGGTACAGCTGCAGAGACTCCTCAAATATGTAATTCTAGAGGGCTGGAAAGGCTTCAGGAGGGCTGTTAAAATATGACTTCTGGTAGTGTGTTGATACTTTGATTAATACTGACTTATTCCTGACAAAATGCACAACTGGTTCATGATTAGCCCAGGGCCCCCTTACACTGCTATTGGAACAACAGACTAGAATTTACAATGTGCTGCAAATTTTTTGCTAATAAGAAGCAACAACTCCTCCTCTGAAGTGGTGTAATTGCAGGGCATCACACTAGTAACATCACAGAATAATGCTTGAAACCTGGCAAAACAGCATTTACTAATGATGTTTTTTTTTGAAGGGAGAGATGCATTAAGCTGTATTTAGTATTGCACATTTCTGAATTAACGGAAGGGTTACAGAGTTTTCAATAGTCTTAAAATACTATTTATTTTGGAAAAGAAACAGCTGAAACTTTTTTTTTAAAGAAACCAAGATGCTTATTTGCCGTACTTAATGGTTGCCTCTGAAGTTTGTGAGGGGTCTTGCATGGGGCACGCCACATCTTGATAATTCCCCTCTAAGGTGGCCTCAAGTCTGTGTCCTATTCATTGAAAAAACCATATTTCACTAACGGCTAAAACCAGTATATAGTCTCCTGAGGCATGTAATCTGGCTTTCCAGTCTTGCATAGACATGAGTTCATAGCATCATCCTATTAAGAAAAACATGTTGACAATGCTAAATCCTATTTGGATGACTGGGAAGCAGGATTATACAACTCACTGGAACAAATAACAAAATGTACTTGCTCAATCGTGTTCATACAGAGATTAATACCTTCCCCATTTATCTAGGTTTGCATGGTGGCCAATCCAAGTACTCCCCCATTCTGATTAAAGACTTTGCATTTTGCAGTCATATGAAAAATAACAGACAAGGCAGCTTGATGTGGTGTCTGTGCAACAATGCCACCAAGTCAGGATACCAGGCTTCTTTCATGACAGTGCCAATGACTTGGGAAGCCCTGAGGAAAAGTGACAGCCATGCCTCTCCACCCTTCTCTGTGCACAGGTGAGGCAGGACAACAACTGTCTATCCAAGGCATGGCAGAGCCTTCAGCAAGCCTTGCCAAGGACAAGAAAATAAAATGTTCCAGGTCAAAGAGCCACAGGTTTTAAACAGCCTTTGTCTAGTATTTCACTGATATTTTTACTATAAATATGGGTTATAAACATGCCACATGGCAGTAAGCCTATTCAAATAAGTACTATTCCACTCCATTATAGTTTCATGTTTTGAGTAGTTAGCAAAAGCTCCTGGGCCGAATGTCTCATACCAACTCTCCTTCCCCTTACCTAACAGATGCCTGGTTTCACTGACTGTTGGGTTTTGCTGTGCCACAGCCAGGTGAGACTGTCTGAAGGGTCTTGCAGCACATCTTGGTTTGCTGACATGTCTGCTAAGGGATTTATTTATCTCACCATCTTCTAGCCCTGCGGGGTGGGGAAAGCATTGAAACTGTCTTTAAGAAAGAGTTACCACTTAGGCAGAAAGCCTTCCTAGAGAAAACCGAGTTCCTAAGTTTCCATTACAAATTTTTCTGAAATTGTACCTATTCCTATACCCATTCTCATGATTCCAGGGCTCCTGACTCTCACCTACTCCCAATACTCACAGCATGTAGTGCTTCTGGCTGCTTCCTTTCCAAGGCCTCTCCTGCACTTCTTTCCCTAACGTGACCTCGCCCCAGAATCACCTGTCATGCTCCCCATGTATGAATGAAGGGGCTAAGAGTGGAAGTCAGTCCTGAATTTTCAGGTCACATTCATGACTCTCACACGTACTCCTTGCAGTTCTGTTTGACAGGCAGCTGTGACCACACCACAGAGAGCAGCCTGGCCCAGCCACATGGACTGCTCATTGTCAAGAGCTACACAAGGAGGAAAAAATCACCTGACCATTCTGTCGTTGTCCAAACGCTTTTTAATAACAACCAGAAATGACCAAGGGACAAAATAGAAAATAAAATTCAAACTTTGCATGGTAGCTGTCTGATCTTTTTTCTTTTTCTTTTAGAAAAGCAAAAACTAGCCCTCCCTTGCCTTTAAATCTCATGTCTTAGCTGAAGTGTTTAAAACTGGATGCAGT